CAGAGTACAAAACAAATTCTGGCCACAAAACAGAGCGAAAAACCAATGTCAAAGACCTGGGAGTGATCATGTCGGAGGATCTCACCTTCAAGGACCATAACATCAATCGCATCTGCTAGAAAAATGGCAGGATGGATACTGAGAACCTTCAAAACTAGGGAGGCCAAGCCCATGATGACACTCTTCAGGTCGCTTGTTCTATCTAGGCTGGAATATTGCTGCACACTAACAGCACCTTTCAAGGCAGGTGAAATTGCTGACCTAGAAAATGTACAGAGAACCTTCACGGCGCGCATAACGGAGAAAAAACACCTCAATTACTGGTTGATCAGGCTCGGATCCACTAGGAGGCCTGGTCATGGACCGGGCTGCGGGGGCGTTTACCCCCGGAACTCTCTCCAGGTAAAACTCCAGGCATACCTAGTCATACCAGTGGCCTTTTTTGTAATAAATACTTAATTTTATAATAAGCTTATAATATGTACACTACACATTGTGGTGGCTAAAGCTCCCGCTTCACACACGGAGGGCCCGGGTTCGATTCCCGGCGGGTGGAAATTCCGACACGTTTCCTTACACCTATTGTCCTGTTCACCTAGCAGCAAATAGGTACCTGGGTGTTAGTCGACTGGTGTGGGTCGCATCCTGGGGGACAAGATTAAGGACCACAATGGAAATAAGTTAGACAGTCCTCGATGACGCACTGACTTTCTTGGGTTATCCTGGGTGGCTAACCCTCCGGGGTTAAAAATCCGAACGAAATCTTATCTTATCTCTTAAAGACGGTCCCAGGGAGACAGTCCATAATACGGCTCATGTTGTGCTGGCCCTTAACTCCCAACAACAGCAACATGGCGTCTGCACTCTCAAGGAACCTGGGGAAGTTTGTACCCCGAAATACTTGCTTGTTTCTATGTGATATGCAAGAAAAATTCAGAAGTTCTGTTCAGTTTTTCCCACAGATAGTTGAGATATCCAATAGACTGTTGAAGGCTTTTAAATTATTGGACTTGCCTGTGGTATGTACGGAGCAGTACCCGAAAGGTGAGTCGTTTTGAGGGTTTTAGCTTCAATATCGTCATTAATTTAGGGTTTCTATTAATTTTTTTAAGTATGCTGTGGGCCATGTTTTATTTGTATGTTCATTATTTGTTAAATGAACATTAAAGAGGTTAATGTTAAGCAGCCGGTGACGTAATGACCTTGACTCGGCTGCTGTTGCTAAGGCACCGAAAAAATGATTAATAATGATTAGTGGTGATGTTTGTAAAGTGTTTGGCTATTTTCTCTGACATATTTTGCTAAATTATGTCTTTGACAATGTTCAGGATGAGATAACTGAGGATGAGTGTTATTTAAGTTCTCACACAAAGAGATGTGCCGGTGAAGGGATCTTGATGCAAGGAGTTAGATCTTCTCTTCCTTGTATGCATTATTATTATATTCAAGGGGGAAGCGCTAAACCCGGAGGATTATACAGCGCCTGGGGGGGGATGTGGAAGGCATTCAGGCTTAATTCGAGGAACTGGAGCACAAATCCAATTCCCTAAATCAAGAGCCCCTCACCAACATCAAGGAACCTTCCTTGAGGGGCCTCCTTGTATGCAACTTCTCATGTTTTATTGACGGTTAAACACTTTTTATCTTAATTGTTCCAATTATCTAAGAGTACATAGGATTAATTATCAACTTTTTTCACTTTTTTTTTCAGAAAGCCTTATGGTGTTTCAGTACAGGCGTACTATGACTTTTTTGATTGAAACTGATTCATTACACCAACTTCAGTTTTCTTTGTTAATTTGCAAGTTCATCTGTTGCATATTATGATGGTTTTAGACCCATAAAGATTCAGTGCAGTTTTTGAATATAATAATAATACCTCTCCTTGGATCAAACCTGGCGCCTTCCATTTCCCTAACATTTTATCAAACGCATCTCAGAAAAATGACAGATG